CTGGCTATGAGATTTTGGCTGTTTCAAAAGTAGCACCAAGGGATCAATCACTTCCTCCTCATAACCACTAAGTAGGTGAGGTTAGACCAAAGGCAAGCTGAAAGACCTCAGGTCCACAGCACTCTGCTGGGATTCCCAGAGCTTCTTAGTGGAAATTCTCAGCGGCATCACATGGTCAGAGACTTGGCTAAACTCTCCAAAGTTTATATATTGCTCTGTTAAGTATGTCGAGTTAGAACTGACTCACAGCTAACTCTTCAGAGGCAAGAAATCACATGGAAGAAGTTTGCTCATCTTTCTCTTGTGGACTCAAACAGTGCCTTTGGGTTGGCAGTGCAGTTCCTTACCACCAGAACACCAACACTCCCTAAGGTTGTTGCAGTGTCCAAGCTTCCCAAATTGGTATACTGAGATATCAACCTCTTCAGAGCTGAGGTGCAGCCTCAACTGGCTGCAAATGTCATACAAATGCTTTTTGTTATGAGGTGAAAAGGCTAGGAAGCACTGGTTTACAACATTATCTTTTTAAAGATCATCTTTATTCATAACTTTAGTATGCAAATAAAAAGTTCAAAACCCTTAGAACAGTTGTTGTGTACCATCGACTCACAGCTGACCCTCTGGTACGTTTTCAGGGGCAGTAAATTGCATGGGAGGAGATTGTCCATCCTTGGAACAGTTGTGGCTTTTAAACTTTTAAAGACCATTCATCCTATGATAATCTGACCAAAACCAAGATATTTTTCCCCAGAAAAATGCCCACCTCTCATTTATAAAGGATTAAGCATACAATTTTAGAGGGCTATAAAATTCAAGGATTATTAAACCCAAATTGACTAACTTTAAAAGGGTTCACCTACTTTTCTTGACACCACTCTCCTCTACTACAGCTTAAAAAAGTGTGAATCACGGTCATGACCATAATAAACACAAGTGTGGCAGGTATTTCTACACATATAACTGTATGTGCTGCAAATATATCTACTTGTACAGATGAACCAAGAGGGGGCCAAGTTATGCAAGCTCTTAACCATGAAAACCATAAGGAAATGAGTCACTTGTCCTAGGACTCCAGGACAAATCTCAGGGGACAGCAAGACCGACTGGGATGGCATAGTCCCTAAGAAGTTTTACAGCCTACTTTACGGAGTAGCAACTGGGGTCTGAAAACTTCTGAGTGGCCATCTAAGGAGGAACTATTGAGCTCCTCCTATCCAGCACAAAGAAGGGTGAAGAAATCAAAGATGCCTGGGGTGTGTGGGGGGTGTAGGAGGAATGCATGGAAGAAATTAGTCTATGTACTAATGGATCCTCAATCTCCACAATCCTGAGAGCAGAAGAACCCAAGGAGCCTGGATAGGCAGGGAGAAAATGATTTTATAAGACTGGAAAAACCTTTAGCAACTCTTTCAGCCTGAGCAGAATCCACTCCTGAAAGGCAAGTGGCTCAACTTTCAGTCAAACAATAGGCCTGTCCAGGACTGAGGTCCTCAATTCTTAGAACATGATCACATCAGATCCTCAGAGTTGCAATCCCCCAAAGATAAAGCTCAGAAGGCAGGAAGAGAGAAGAATGAATGGAAGTAAGAATCATAGGGGGGAAGTGTGAATAATTATTATTACATGGAGATTGTAATCAATGTCATAAAATGTGTATGAGTAAGTGACTTGAAAACTAATCTGTTCTATGAACTTTCACTCAAATCACAGTAAAATGGGGCGGGGGGACGATGGGAGGAAAAGGTTGTTAGTTACCTCCATCAACTCCATGAATCTAGTGAAACAGAAATGTTCAGTTGCTTACGGGGAATATGTGTGATCAGGGGTTTGCTCCTCCACTTACCCTTGTAACACCAAACTGCTGGCTGTTGGGAGAATGTAAATGTACAAAGCAGTTCTCTGAGTTTAAATGAATTTTAAAAAGATAAAATATTTACATTTAAAAACTCCTGTAATTGGTTACTCTGCGGTTTCCTATCTTCACTGCAAGTACATGACCTTGTTTGTGTGTGATAATCACTCCACAGTTGTTCAAACAGGGGGTGAAGGAACATTTAATTCAATTCATTTTAGCAGCATCTTTATTGCAACAAAGAACGTGTAATAAAATGCAACAAAACTAATGCTTCATTTTACATGATTAAAAGCCATGTGGCTGAAAATGAGAAAACCCATAAACTTACTGGACTGAGACATGCAATTCTTTTTATACAAGTCAATGCTTAAAAACAGCAGGCACTTTATGTTCTAAAATGAAAGACCTGAACCCCAATTGTGCTGAATACCACAAAATTTTGTACTTGGGTTATTGGGGGAAAAAAAACCAACAACCAAAACCAAAAACACAAGCAAACGAATAAAAAAAAACCCAACTATTTTTTCCTGCGTGAGGAACTTCTGAAATGATTACCTAGAGCTAGCTAGCTCCTGGTGGCAGAAGCCAACACCGTGCACAAATCCATCTCTACATTTCAGGCTACAAGATGTTGTCAGTGAGGCTGGGTGGGGCTGGAAGCATGGGAGTCAGGGAAGCTTCCTTATGTCTTCTGGGCTTGGACATCACCTGACATATACTAGTTTACATATTATCACCATACCTCTTTTCTCACTTCAACTACCTGTGAGAAGGGATTGCAGGCTTACTCAAGCATTCTAGTCTGAATTCCAGCCAAATGCCCCTTTACACCACCAAGAGAGTGTAATATTTTCATTAACTTCAGAGTATCATATACTAATCAGAAGTACTACTTTATTAATAAGCATGGTTAGCACTTATTATAGAATGGAATAATGAACCGTTTTATGCTGTTATCTTTAAAATGTTTTACAGGAATATATTAATAAATACTTCTTTTAAAAATTTGTCTTTTCTCTCTATCACTTAACTACTGTGAGTCAGGGTGTCTGGAGAGAGGCTGGTGCCGAGTGAACGCTCACTGGCTGGAGGGCCCAGGCACAGGCCCTCTTCTCTTTAGTATGCAGGTTCCTCTTCTACTATTAGATCACCAAAGATTTGTTCCAGATTGAAAACATTATGTTTCTATAATAATGAGAGATATGTGTTTAGGATCATTCTACCTAAAGAGGCAATGCGACAAAGAAGTAGGACTGACTTTCCAAAAGGAACAAAACAAAGTAGTAAAGTAAGCATCCTTGCACCAGAGTCTATACTTTGCTCTGTGAAAAGGTAATCAAGCAGAGTGACTTCTTTTTATCACTGAGTGAGGCTCTGGGAGAGCTAGGAATGGCAGAGAGGGAAAAACCTTCATTCCAAATGGTTCCCTAGACAAAGTAAACTCTTTCAATATGAGGAGGACCCTAGAGGATACACAGGAGCCACTTTTTTAGCTACTGTTTTTGGCTCTAATCAATCAGTCCAGTGTAAAAATCACCTATTATATTCTTAATCTAACTCTATTCTGTAGATCTGGAAAGTTTGTTAGAAATGCAGATTCCTGGTTCCGACCCAATCAAGAGAATCCAAATTTCTAAGAATGAGGTTTAAGAATCTCCATTTCTTTATATAAAGCATCCCAGAGGAGTCTTGGGGTTTGAACTCCACTGCTCTATAATGTAAAGAGCTGTATGTGTTGATAACTGTTCAAGCACACCTCTTTGGCAAGCCTACAAAAAGCCAGTTTGATGGTCAATCTAGTGGTTTGTGGCTCTCACCAAAATTGTTGCGATTTTTATACTCATGTTTAGTCAGAGCAAGAGCAGTTTCAGTAAGATTTTCATTGTTCACTTGAAATGACTGAAATGTTTTCCACATCTGTCCTTAAAGCAAATCAGTCAAGTCTTCATTCTGCAAGGGAATTCAGTCAGGTATTTTTTCCTGTAAAGAAGTGGAGTGCCATTATAATCCTAACAGAAACATTCCTTGTGATAGAAGAAGAGCTGATCAGAGAAAAGGAAAAGGCAAGATGCAAAAGAAAAACATGTATGACTCCACAGTATGTGAAGGTTGTTCTGAAAAATAAGAGATGCTATTTGTACCCAGTCTTAATAGGCAAGAGAATTCCAATGAATGCTGTATAATACTTCTACTTGTATATGCTGTGAGGCCAAAAATCAAAATAAAAAGCAAAAAATCATCCTCAATAATCAGATACATACTTAAGATATGGGGTATATATGTTCTTGGGGGAAAAAAATGGTACCCAAATCAATTTAATTTAACACTGAAAAAATATAAACAAATCTTGGCATGGGGAAATACCATAAACATGAAAATTAATATATATATTTATATATATACAGGCAATAAGGGAAGTATGGTATCTATGATACAATATAAACACACAAATAGTAAAACCCAAGCTCTTCTCTAGGGCAGAACCACCAGGTCATTTGGCCACCTCTAGGCTTCCCCGACCACCCCCTGCCCCTCAGCTATGAAATCCCCCTCTGACAGAGACACACCATCCAGCCTTACTAGGGAAGCTGTGTTCTCTGTGGAGGAACTCTACCTCTGTAGTGATGAGAAGAAACAAAATGATTTTTCTTGGACTGTTGTTTAAAAGCACTGGTTACAATTTTCCAAACACTGGATCTTGTGATAATAGAGGCAAAATCCTTAGATACCTGCTTTGCCACAGGATCCAATGTGATCTACATAGCAATCTAGAACTCCAAGGCAACAGAGCCCAGTCAGCACCAGTAAGCCATTGAGCTTCCTTAACAGTCAAGTGCAAGAGCCAAACCAGGAAAATGTCATGGACATTCAGACAAACTGTTTACAGGCTTTAAATACTGAAAAAGAAAGTCATGGCTTGTGGGGGATCAGCTTACACTAAATAGGACTCCTAGAAACCTTTTTAGTTTAAGCTTGTATAAATAGCTCTTTATGCTCAAACAATTTAAAAACTACAGATGTTTAAATTTGTAAAGTTCCAAAATTAAGAATAAACCCCAAAACGTTAAAATAATAACATTAATTCTAAGGAACTTTGCTTCCCTGAATAAAATCAGTCTGTAGCTGTCTGAGAGAGTGACTTCTTAATTTCCAAATCCAAACCTTTTCACATTCATCTTTGTTGATACTTCTGCTTTGTTCATAAGCAGATCCTCACTTCCTCTTCTCAATGATTTCCCACACCCTAGTCTCTTCATCCACTCTGATTTCCTACCATCGCTCTAAATATCTGGATTTTAATAACCAAATTCCAGATGAAAACAGGCATTACTAAATTTTCTGGAGACTACAAGTATGTACTTATTCTTTTCCTAAGGGGAAAAAAAACCTGCCTGTGAATTTTTAAGCTTTAATAATTTGATTAAAATTTGTCTATAACAACTAATTTCTTAAGACAAATTAAATCACTGTTACTTATGTAGTTGTCTGTGTTTATGTGTAAAGATAGACCCATTCTGGTATATTATTAGAGAAAAAGAAAAACTGCTTATACGGTTACCGTTTAAATTGACTAAAAACTCGTCAGAATTTGAGTGAACTAAAATCAGTGTTTTTAGGAGATGACTAAGTAATCCTTGAAAATTATTAATGACTGGTTAAGTCAGAGGTTTACTAGTGATTAACTCATGCTGGATATACCCCAGGCAATGAAGCATAAGTATCAATTATACTTAAACGCTATCAAATCGGTAACTAGTCAGAGATTCTGGAATTGAACCAAACCAATAGCTAATTTCATCATAGTTTAACAAACTCGAAATATACTGTAAAAATACACTAATTAAATTCATGAGGTTTATAATGCTTTTAAAAGTGAAAATAGGGCAGTATGAATATGTGGTGCTAATGCCTTATTTCTTTCAGTAATTTTCATGGTATAGAAATATGTGCCATTCAATTTTGAGTGTGTACATTTAAGGTATTAGATTACTACCCACAAGCTGTAAACACCTGTGTGGCACCAAATTTTCTTTCAGAAATAGATGTTACATGGCAGGTACCAAAATGCGATGATCTCTATTGATTAACCTCCTCATGTGGTTAAGCAGCCAGTGTATAACAGAGTTTTACACAGGTCAAAATTATATCACTTTCAGAGCAGCAATATGTGATCCAAGGTTTTCTTGAAGGTAGTGCAAAAGATGCAGTTCATAATGTTCTCCAGATTCAGGAACTCTTATGCTGTGTCTTTCCTGAGGATAGATCTTAACAGTAACAACAAAAACAGAACAAAACAAAAACCAAAATATAAACAGTAAGAATTTCTTTCTCAAGCATCCAAGACATAATTTAACAGGATTAATAACACGGTATATTCCTCTCCAAATGACTACACATAATAAAGCTCATAGAAGGACTTATCTGTAAACTTCTGTGGGTCCCTAAAAACACTTTCAAGGGAGATGTGAGGTAAAAACTACTTTCAGAATAATACTAAGACACTATTCATCTTTATTCATTGTTAGAATTTGCACTGATGATGAAAAAGTAAAACTGCTAGTGACGTAGCAGAAATCAAGGCAGTGAGACTAAATTGTACTGAACTCTTCACCACCACACACTTGTATAATAAAAATGAAAAAAGGCCTGATTTCACTTAAGCAGCAGTAAAAATTGTAATTTTTTAAAAGTGCAATCTTGCAATCGCAGAGGTGCACAGTTCAAATCCACCAGATGCTTTGCTGGAGAAGGAGGAACAGTCTCCTCCTGTACCAGTCAGACCTGATCTGATGGTACACACACGCACAAAAAATAATAAAATAAAAATATAAATAATAACTAAAAAAGGTGCAATATTAAGCATGTATTTTTAAACGATCTATGATATGGGAAGCACTTCTAGTACATATAATGGCTGTCTCCAGGAAAGTATTGGACGAGTTGCAAGCAAAACTTGTTTTTTAAAATAAAACCACATTTTTAGCTGAAAAGGACTTAGAAACTATAATTTTACAAACTTGTGTATTTAGCAAATATTTTCTCAAAATAAATGGAGTAAAGGAGCTTTAGTGGCTGTAGTTTATTATGTATTGTGCCATTAAACCAAAAATGAATGGAAGGAGTTAGTCACATAAGGGGTTAACAGTGACAAGATCTGTTGCCAGTGGTAAAACCTGAGTTTTTCAAGAGAAAACAAAAATCTTGGAAAACTTATCACTAGCTCATGACCCTCCCAATACCTGAGATCTAATTATTAGAAAATAAAAATATAGGCTCCATTATATCTAGAACCAAGTTCATTTGGAGATGTACATGTCCTTTATAGGCAACATAATTTGTTATTCAGTTTTTCTATTGTTGTTAAGTGCCTTCGAGTCACAGATGACCCATAGCAACCCTATGAACAAAAGTCTTGAATACAAAACTTTCATCTTTTTTCCAAGTTCATAGAGTTTCTGGAGGCAAGCTTATTTTGGAAGTGGATGCCACTCTTGCTTCCAAGCCTTTTTTATTCAGGAGATCCACAAAAAGCAGGCCTCAAGCCAAAAAGCTTTTTTAAATAGACCAATCCAATCAGCTCAAGCTCTCTAATGAACAAAACTCACACTCTAATCTCAACCCCAAACCAGAAAACACACCTTAGCAGAATCTGGCCATTCTGTATGAGAGAAATTACTCCTGCTCTATGTCATTAGGACATAATTATTTTTTTTTAAATTGTGGTTCTAATATACTTAAATAAAAATGTTTGCTAACTGAAATAATTTTTACATATATAATTCAGGGACATTGATTATATTCTTTATGTTGTACAACCATTATAACTATTATTGTTGTTAGGTGCCACTGGGTTATACTCCTAATGAACCTATGAACAAAAGATCCGAACCCTGTTCTATCCTGTGCCATCCTCACACTTCTGAACACACAAGAGCCTACTGCAGCAGTCACTGGGTCAATCCAGCTGGTTTAGGGTCTTCTTCTCCTTTGCTGACATTTTCTTAAATTCTACCATCAATATAAACTCTGTCTTCTGAACAGTGATTCTTCTTCCCACTGCCTTGTTATCCTTGATAAGCTTTGGTTTCCATGTATTTTCATCTTTAATATAAATGAGAGCATACAGCATTGCTCTTTTGTGACTAATTTATTGAACTTAGCATAATATTTTCAAGCTTATTCAGGTGGTGGTGTGTATCAGAGCTTCAATTTTCTTGAGTAGTATTACATGTTATGCATATACTATACTTTGTTTACCCATTTATCCACGGATGGACATTTATGCTATTTCCATCTTTTGACTATAGTGAATAGTGCTGCAATAAACACCAATGTAAATGCTTCTGTATGCATTCCTGCTTTCAAATCTTTTGGGTACATACCCCTAGGATTGTTTGGTCAGGTGATAGGTTCTACATTCAACTTTTTTAAGAACTGCCAAAATGTTTTCCACAGCAGCTATACTATTCTGAAAGTCATTTACCAATAATGGATGAGGGCTGTTAGTTTCACTTTCCACTTTAAAAAAAAAAAGTAGGGAGCTCTGGTGGCCTAGTGGCAAGAAGTTGCACTGCAATCCCAGAGGTATGCGGTTTGAATCCACCAGGTGCTCTGCTGGAGAAGGAGGGGCAATCTCCTCCTGTACCAGTCAGATCCGATTTGATGGTACACACAAATAATAATAATAATAATTAAAAAAAAAAAACCAACATAGCTTTCTAGTGGGGGTGAAGTAGTAGCTCATCTCGTTCTCATTGCCTTCAAGTTGGAACTTATAGGTGACCTTTATACTGGGCTTCAGAAGCTGTAAACTAAATGCATGGGAGGAAATTGTACATTATTTTCCCTCAGAGATGCTGGCAGATTCAAAATGCTAGAGAGGCATGGCTTTTGGGCTGGCGGTACTACTTCCTGTAGACCAGGCCATGAGTGCTCCCTGAGACAACGACAGCTCTCATAGTGGTTTTGATTTCCACCTCTCTCACCACTGGGCCAAGTGGCAGCATCATGATAGATAGTGAAAGACTGAGATTGTTAACAGCGTTAGTTTGTTTGGCTCCACAATCAAAACTCTTGGCACCAGCAGCCAGGAAATCAAAAGAAAAATTACACTGGGAAAGCCTGTTGTCAGAGACCTCTTCAAAGTACTGAAAAGCAATGATGTCAGTCTGGGGACTAAGGTGAGCCTGATCCAGGCCATAGCCTTTGTAATTACTTTCTATGCATCAGAAAGCTGGACAATGACTAGGGATGATAGAAGAATTGATGCCTTTGAGCTGTGGTGCTGGAGAAAAGTACTGAATATACCACGGACTACTAGGAGGACAAACAGGTTCATCCTAGAAAGGGTGAGACCAAGCTGCTCCTTGGATACAAGGATTCTAAAACTTTGACATACTCTGGACATGTTGCAAGGTGGGATCAGTGCTTGGAGAGGGACGTCATGCTTGGGAGGGAGGAAAGACAGCGCAAGAGAGGAAGACCCTCGATGAAATGGACTGATTCAGTGACTAGGGTAATGGGGGTAGATGTGTCGGATACAATGAGATTGGCACAGGATAGAGCAGAGTTTAGAACTGTTGTACAAAGGGTTGCTGTGAGCTGCAGGTTGACTAGACAGCATATAACAACAACAATGGTCATATCTCTTCATGTGCTTGTAGGCATCTGTGTATCAAGACTTTAAAATGAAATCACTATTAATATATTTGATTTTTTAAAACATATAATGAAAAGAGTCGACATTTGGAAGATATATAGAGATGATTGATGCATGAGTAAAAGATCTATTTGAAGGGCAAAAGCTAATGAATTTTAATGTAACCGAATATAAAAAATTTACTGATTCTACACTAAACCCTTAAGAAATTAACAACTGATAAATTCTGGTGTAACAACAATGAAGAAGAGTAGAGTAATAATTATTTAAAAATTTCCTCTTCTTAGCTATTAGTTTGTGAAGCTACATTTTCTTTCTATACAGTAGCTGAAATAACAAAGCACAGTAAATTAAATGCAGAAACAGGTATGAAAATTCAAGTGCTACTTTGTAAGGAAGTTTAAACATTTAAAATAATGATATGGTTTTTAGTTTGGAAAAATAGAATTTCCCCTAATAAAAAAATGTTATTTGTACAAATATATTAAAGTTTATTATTTTAAAATAAGTCAGTAAGTATTTTTTTCCCCTCAGTGTTGAGAATCTGATAAATACTGACAGGTAGGTCACATTAACAAAAGCTCCTTGGTATATTCAATAATTTTACAGAATATAAAAGGATCCTAAGGCCCTAAAAAGCTTGCTAACTGCTGTTATAAACAAATACCTTAGAGTTTACGTGCACAATGTCAACTAGAATGAAAAAAAGGAGATAGCAGTATTTTTCATTTCTTTGTTCATGTAGTTTGAGTATGGAATAGAAAGGAGGGATGAAAGAAGGGATAGTTTTCTGTAAAGTATTTCCTGGCTTCCTTTTCAATGGAGAAAGATAACTTCCTGATTTCTGCTCCAAGAGCAATATAAAATAAAAGGGAAAAAAGAAAATACCTTGCATTCAAGCCTAAAACCCTTATAACAATCAAATCAACTAGCATTTTCTTACTTTTCAAAAGGAAAAGAAAAAAGTAAAGCAAAGCAGTGAATGGACTTCCTGCCATCTTTTCTGTGCTTGCAAACTGAGAGCAGGTAGAGATACACAAGCATGGAATTGGATATACCAGTTTTCCAGACTGACTTAGACAGCACTTGAATTTTGATCGAACTAGAGGCACTACTATGTCTATTAGAAAGTGACCCCAATTGAAAATTTGGCTCTTTTCCACAGTTTTTTAATTTTCAAAGTAACGCAATAATAATGAATCATTACTTTGTTTAATTAGGAAATGTAGACTAACTCACCTGCAAATCATATGGCTTTCCAGCCCTCACTAAAAAGCTCAGTAATATACTGGTATGTGCAAAATGGACATTCTCATCCAAGAACCCATGCAAGAGTAGTAAACGATTTGGTCTGGAGAAATGAAAATATCAGAGGATTAGACAAGGTAGTAGAATATCTGGGGAAGACACTTAACTCATTTAAACTAATAATCAGTCTCATCTGTGTTTGTATACTTCCTTAGACTGTAATGTTAGAATAACAATTCAACAAATTAAATGGGCAATGTATTAGCCAGATTCTATGTATCATGAAAGTAAAAAAAAATATGCTCAATGTTTTGATAGTAGTACACATTAATAACTATAGCACATCTCCAGAAAAAGACAAATTGTGAGCAGTATCTGTAAAGTAAGTAGAGAGATAAATATTTTCCATTTTAAAGCAATTACTTAAGTACACTTGTTAGGAAAAAACTCTATAAAGTGGTCTATAAATAAATAAGCAGTTATTCAGCTTTGACAAACATTTATATCCTTTATAACATTCTAAAAAGTATTAATCTTAGTCTTTATTAATAGATATATTTTATTATTATTATTTATTATCATTAAAGATCATTTTGAAAAATTACATTTCAAATTTATACTCTTACTTTTCAAAGCCTGAACTTACTCAGAAGGGAACTTTTCTGCTTGCATGGCCACAGATCCTAAATAATAGCCCTGTTCGTTCTGGTCAGGGTGACCCATGTAACGTTCTGTGTATCCTGTATCGTAGAAGATCCACAGGGTGACAGGGGCCCCAGCAATGGCAACCTATAAAGTCAACACTGATAGTCAAATATGATTCAGAAAGGGTGGCTAGCAATGAGAATTTACAATTGCAAATTTATAGGCTAAAATTATCCTTAGACTCATGGTTTCAGGCAACTCCAAAAGCCAAAGGAAGGGCCAATGTCAAGAATTTGATACTTTGTGAATCAGTCAGCTTCATGTCTGGTGGTACAGAAATCCATATGTCTTCTAATCTGGGTGAGCATGCAGACAAATGAAGGGCCCTCTGTTAAAAAAAGAGACTGAATGACTCAATGTAAACTCATTCTTGCTATGGAGGATGGGGAGAAAGGCTGTGAAAAGTAATTTTTTAAATTGTGTTATTAATGAAAGTTTATAAAAAACCTCGGATTTCCATTCATTTATTGTCATACATTTTCCTCCCTGCTTCTCCCCAATCCCAGTTTGCTTTTTCCTTCAGAAAAAAAATTATTTCATTATTATACAGCTCTCTGCACCCAGACCACTTTACTACGCAGATCTTATTGTAGACTTTTATCATGCCAGTAATACCTAATCGTATATTCCTTTTATACAGTTCTCTCCCTCCTCTGTTTCAATGCCGTGTACATTATTTATCCCCTCTTTTCTTAGTTTCTCCCAAGCCTCATGTCAGTTCTGTTTTGTAACAGTGGTATTATCCAGTATTTGTCTTTTTGTGACTGAGATATTTCACTCAGCATAATGTCCTCCATGGTCACCTATTTTGTATAACTGTTCATGAGTTCTTTGTTCTTCAGTGCTGCATAATATTCCCTTGTGTGACTATAACACAGCTTCTCTATCCATTCATTTGTTGATGGGCACTTGGGTTGTTTCCAACTCTTTTACTATTGTGACCAAAGCAGCAATAAACATGGGTGCGTATATATCTGCTTGGGTGGCAGTTCTGGTTTCTAATTTAGTGTATATTTCCAGTAGTGGGATATCATTTTGATATAATAAAAGCATACATTTTTTTAAGCGGTACAGAATATAAATTCACAAATGAAATATATTTTAATACTAAAAACTTGCCTCATTTTAAGGGTCCCACAGTTTTCTATTTAAACATTCTAATTACTGTCACAATAGCTGCAAACCTGAGAAAATCATGGCAGTTTGCAAAATTCATTTAGTAGTTGTTATAAAGACTACCTGAGTGCTCGCTTCGGCAGCACATATACTAAAATTGGAACGATACAGAGAAGATTAGCATGGCCCCTGCGCAAGGATGACATGCAAATTCGTGAAGCGTTCCATATTTTCGACCCTGAAATTAACCAGTCTGTAATGAAGGCTAACTCCTAACTCCTTTCACCTACAAATTTCGTCTTTGGATACAAAGCTAAGTGGATAGTCCTTATGGAGGGGCTGTTTAAAAAAAAAAGAGGCAGGGAAGAGAAAAGAAAAAAAAAAGACTATCTGAACACACACAAAAAACCAAAAGGCCTATCAGTCTTACTCTTAAAAAGAAATTTTTTACTATAAAAATGTTTCTGAAATATTTAAAAAGAAAAATACTAACTATATTTCCAATCTCTTAACTATTAAATTATAATAATAAATTACATATTTAATAATTTACTTATTCAACATACATTTATGGTCAGAGCCAAGTCTGTGTCCTTGCTTGGTTACTGTTGAAGATACAGCACAAAGAGCCCTTAGACATTATAGACCAACAATTAAATAAGTAATTATAATCAAATACGTGTGTGTTTTACCACTTATAACTATCTCCTACAAGGTTTGTCCTACATCTATAAGTAATCAATAACTTTTTACCTACTTGAAAAAATTTTTTATATCTACACATATGTGTACATAATAGTTACGTGAGATATATAGATACACAAACCCATTGCCAGCTCTTTAATTCTTCAGACATATCAATTTACAGAAGAGTTTACTAAGAGCTGAACAATGAATAAGGATGACAGAATAAATATGTCTTTGAGTTGCAGTGCTAGAGAAGAGTATGGAACATCTCATGGACTGACAAAAGAACAGGTACATCTCCGAAAAGGTGCAGCTAGAGTGCTCCTTGGAGGCAAGAATGACAAAGCTTCTTCTCTCATACTCTGAACATATTGCTAGGAGAGGCTTTTCCTTGGAAAAGGGTATCATGCTTGGAAGGGTTCAGTGAAAAAGAGGAAGGCATCCACTGAGATGGGTTAACACAGTGATTACAGTCCTTGGCTCAAGTGTATCAGAGATAGTGAGAATGGCACAGGATAGGATGGGATTCAGGTCTGTTGTTCCTAGGGTGGCTATGAGTTGTACTTGACTCAACAACATCTAACAACAACCACAACAACTCTATGGCAAAAATATTAGGGAATCACGTACCCTGAAAATATCTGACCTCTGCATTAATGCCATCAGGGAGAGATATCCTCCATAGGACCAGCCATGGATGCCCACACGATCTAAGTCAATGAAATCATACTGAGAAGCCAGATACTGGAGTCCTTCTACTTGATCGTCAATTTCTATTTGACCCTGTAAAAAAAGAGAGAACATCTTATCAATCTATTTGATCAATACAACTCTCATTAGAGGAATGCTTATAAAGTTATTTCTATTATTTTTAAAAATACCTGTGGTGCTTTTAGACTGGAATTTATGGTCAACTGAGATTTTGTTAACCAAAGAACAGTTCTTAAAATCTATTTAGAGATCAGGGCTTATAGCTTCTGCTGCTGGCCTGAGTTTAGCTATTCTTTCATCATAAAGTTCTTTTCTATTGCTACCAAAATTGTCTTTGGCTGGAATCATTATTTGTTCTGTTGTCTGCTAAGAGGTCAGCACCTTCCTTGCAACAAGCCTTCCCATACCCAAAGACAAAAAATTGGCCTCCTTAATTGATTTCCTAATTTATCTCCTCCTTTTAATACTTAGTAAAGCAGAGGGTATCTCTGTCCATTTCTTCCGTCACAGTACCTCTAGAAACTGATCATCTTAGTCCTATTACATTCTAATTCTTACAACCACCACCCTGTCTGGATTACTAGGCCTGCCAGTGCATATACTCTCACTTCACTGAGCCAAAAAAAAACCCCCACCAAAACAAAAAACTTACATGAGAATACAACATAAGGTCAAAGAATTGGCTGTGGGAGAAATTCCCCATGTCTTACTCAGCATGTCCAATACACTGGCAAACACAGTAACTGCCTTACTGTGCAAAGGAACATCGGATTCTCATCATTTCCCAAAGCAGCAGAAGGGACATAGGGCATCTCTAAAAGGTAGCATTTAAAGCTTCCTGTAGAGAGAAAGAGGCTTGTCACAAGGAAGGCACTAAGCAGGTGGTTTCGTTTTCCTCTTCACAGAGGACAGAACAAATCTCACTTATTCCTCTCAATAGTGTTCAGAAGGCCCAAGGTGAAACAGTGTTGCTTTCTGGCTGAATTGGAACATGTAAAATGGAAAGAGAGGGGTTCCTTTGTGTAAAAGTAGCTCTATCTTAGCTCGCTTTTAAAGTTACAAGACCTGAGCTAGTGTAGAGAGTACAGAGTTGTACCTTTCCGCCTACCTCTCTCTCCAACACACATACATACGTACACCCTCTCACAATCCCTTCTGCCAATGTTCTCTCTGGGGTTTCACACCCAACAGTGCAACAGTCAATGTGAATAGAAGAAAAAAAATGTTTTAAAGCTCACACACCATTTTATACTTAAAGGCGCCTTCAAATTTAAGGCCACGGTGGCAGGATCCCCTGTTGTCTATTACCACAACCACATAACCCAGAGAGGCTAGTGTATTCAAGCGGAAATACTTGACTCCTTTAAATCGATTATTCACCAACTGCACCTGAGGAAGAAATACACTGTCAGTGAAATTTGTTATACAGTTTATACAAGAGGCAGGATTTTGCAGAAAGTGAGTTTGTTGTTGTTGTTGTCATTGTTATCTTACCTTTTAATACAGAACTTTAAGTGATTCATTTTAGAGTAATCGAAATCCTTTCATGTTTATGTTTCTGCTTGTATAACCTCACATTCCAGGTGCAGGGCAATTACTAAGCAATGACAGACTTGAACCATAACCTAGATGCTAATTACATATAAGAGAATCAATCTACCCAGTAGAAAAAGTTACAAAAATGATTACTTCTACCATGAAAAGAACTGGGTTATTCAAATGATAAGAGCAATGATAAACAAGATTCTTCTCCTTGCCCTCCCATCTCCCAGGTGCGCCCTGAGCAGCACTGGGAATAAATGAGGGTTCTAATGGAACACTGTGACTAGGCTTGGCTTCCTTTTTCCTGTAACACAAATCATTGTAATAAAAAAAGGGTAATTTTAAAAATCACTTTATCACCCTAGAGCTATACTTCAAAATGACTGTAAAATTAAATGTACTTTAGTGCTTCACCAGAAATAGAATATGTAGTGAAAAGAAGACTATAAATAGTGGACAGAAGGTTATAAAAGGTCAAGGGCTGGGGGACACAGAGAAAGCTATTAAATAAAAAAGGTTCTGAGAAAATAAGAAAAAAAGATCTTTTTTCTGGCAGAAATTAACAGAACACTGCAACCAGAATTAACATTTTCTTCAAAAACAACAAAAAAATCACATCTACTGATCACTGACCAGACTATTATTTTTTTAAATAAAATTTTATTTTACACTGGTTTACTTCCATAGTTCATATACCTTGTTTTTCACACCAGATCCTTCTAATTCTTTAGAGGATAAAAGAATCATTTCTTTTTGCACTTTGTTTACACCTCTGCAAAAAAGCACCACACTGGTCTTCCCTCATCTATTGTAGTTTTCCTCTGATCTGTTACTCGGTAGCAGTGCTCTTATGAAAAATGTACATTAGACATGACTGGGCTGCCTGGCTCCCTCCAGTAAGGATGTCGAAGTTCCTCATCATGGCCTGTGAGAGCCTATTAACACAGACTCCTGCCAGAACCCATTCCTGCAATCTCATTCTATTTCCCTTTTCACTGTATTTAATCATGTTAGAGTTCTGAATCACA